TATTCTTTTATTATATTACACATACAGTATAAAAGATTAGATATATATATTATATATAATATATAATATATATAATATATATAATATTATATATATATATATATTTGTAGAGTATAGCGGGGTATAAACAAAGACACAAAAACCACTGAAAGAAAAACAAATAAATAAAAACAAATAAATAAAATAAATAAATAAAATAAAATAAATAAAAACAAATAAATAAATAAAATAGATAAAACAAATAAATAAAAACAAATAATAAATAAATAAATAAAAACAAACCGAAGCACATAAACAGAGAAGGAGAAGGAAAGAGAAAAGACAAAAAACAAATAAATAAAATAAATAAATAAAATAAATAAATAAAATAAATAAATAAAATAAATCAATAAACAGAAGGATGAGAATAAATAAATAAATAAATAAATAAAACAGACAAGTAAATAAATCGAGACAAACAAAACAAATGAATAAAACAGCAAAAACAAAATAAATAAATAAATAATTAATCAAAACAACAAAGACATTCTTTCGACTGGAAAGCCAAAGTTGAACAGCCAATCCTAAACCCTAAACCCTAAACCCTAAACCCTAAACCCTAAACCCTAAACCCTAAACCCTAAAACCCTAAACCCTAAACCCTAAACCCTAAACCCTAAACCCTAAACCCTAAACCCTAAACCCTGAATAGCCCACCGCCATTGTCAGGGTGGTTTCTCAGCATGAGTTGTTTGTGATTCTGCAGTATCTTCTCGCGAGAAGCAGTGGGCCTGCGGTGTATGCGCAGCTCCACACAACATAAACCCTAAACCCTAAACCCTAAACCCTAAACCCTAGACCCGTTAACCCTAAACCCTTAACCCTAAACTCCAAACCTTAAACCCTAAACCCTAAACCATATACCCCAAATCCTACACCCTAAACCCTTACACCCTAAACCCTAAACCCTAAACCCTAAACCCCAGACACTAAACCCGGACCCCTCAACCCCAACCCGTAAACCCTAAACCCTAAACCCTAAACCCTACCCTAGCCGAAGTATTTGATAAGCCTCCGCTCTCGTCATTGGAGATTCAAACCCTTTCATATCTCTCGTAGCAAACTGAATTTGCTGCTTTAGCAGCTCTGCTTTCTTATAGAGACCCGAAGCCCAGGAGGGGGCCCCCAGGGGCCCCCCAGGGGCCCCCAGGGGGCCCCCAGGGGCCCCCCCACGACTCTTCATTATCAAACGCATTGCACCCCTAGCTGCATAAGCTGCACCCCCAGCAGCAAGAAAGATGAGAGGCCAAGCCATTATAAACCCTAAACCCTAAACCCTAAACCCTAAACCCTAAACCCTAATCCTTAACCCTAGACTGTAGAAGTTGAATCGTAGAAAGATGGTGTTGTAAAGGAGATGAGTAACAGCAGATAGAAAATAATAACAGCAGAAGATAGCCACAAAATTCAGCGCTAAACCCTAAACCCTAGACCCTAAAACCTAAACCCTAAACCCTCGAGGCTAGATGTTGTTGCCTTGTGAGAAGAAGGAGAAAGAGTGTTTTTATAATAATAAAAATAAATATATTAAATTAATATTCTTCACAATTAATATCTCAAGCTGCACAACAAGGGGCCTCAAATACCCCTGGCTTCTGGGGGCCCCTACTCCTAAACCCTAAACCCTAAACCCTAAACCCTAAACCCTCGCTCTCCCTTGACATCAACCCCTCAAACCCTTGCTTCTGCACACTTTTTCTTTTTTTTAATTATTTTTTTCTTTGTCTTTTCTTTTTTATATTTCTTTCACCTCATTTAAACCCAAACACCTCGGGGGCCCCCTGGGCCTCCTCACTCTCCTAAATCCAAATGCCGAGGAGGGGCCCCTCAGGGGCCCCCTCAGGGGCCCCCTTGGGGGCCCCCCACCAACATATTCCTCAGGGGGCCCCCCAGGGGCCCCCCCAGGCCTCTCCTCAAGGTTGCCTTCAACAAGGGGCCCCCAAAGGCGCTCGAGAAGGGGGCCCCCAGGGGGCCCCCCAAGGGGCCCCCCAAAATGCCCCCTCAGGGGGCCCCCAAGGGGCCCCCGAAAATGACCCCTCAGGGGGCCCCCAGGGGGCCCCCCAGGGGGCCCCATTGGGGGCCCCATTGGGGGCAGGGGGGTGCGGGTTTGGTGAGGAGAGTTTATTGCGTTTGATAGGAAAGGCTGAATTGCTAGTACATTTATTGAAGGCTAGAGTTGCTTTACCTTTATTATATCCTTTGAACTCTCGTAGTTTAACAAACCCTTTAGGGCCTTCATCAATAACAAATAATATTTGGAGCAAGCAAGAGGTTTTATTAGGTTTATCTCAGATTGCACCGACTGCTTTAGCACTTAGTAGATTGGGTTCTATATTAAGAGCAGCAAATGCATTAAAACATTTGGGGCCCCCAAAGGGTACAGTTGGATTTAGGGGGGCCCCCAGGGGGGCCCCCCTGAGGGGCCCCCGTACCCTTCCTTCAGCAACAAGAGATTCAAATCATTTCTTAAGGCCGCAAGCTTGGCGAATGTTAAAGCCGGGTGAAGAAAGAGCAACAAAGCATTTAAGATGGAGGCGATGAAGAAGTTTAATTAAAAACAAATTAAAAGAAACAAAGTATATCTCTTTAGAGTTTAAAGTTTAACAACAAACATTACACACACTCCTCTTCTTTTACTTTCTCATATTCACGCAGCGCTGCACTCAACGCTGTTGTATCTGTTTGTAGTAAAAAACATAAATGTGTATGTATGCATAATATATATATATATATACAAATATATATATATATACAAATATATATATATATATACAAATATATATATATATATGCGCGG